GGAAAAGAATATTAAGCAAGAATGCAAAATGTGTCCTTTGCAGAAAAAGTCTTTGGCATCCAAACAACTGTGGCATGTTAAATCTTAATAATGAATAACAATGAAAATGGGAACAGATTGATTCAGCTTTAAAACAAATTATGTACAAATATGTACAACAAACAAACAAATATGTGCAACAAACTAAACAGTAGTTCAGACGTCAATGATATTAAGAGCAGTAGCTCTCTGTGTTTGCTGTCTTATTTTATTTTATTCACACCAAACATCTTTCTTCTTATTGGTTCATGGCTGCTTTGAATTGACTTAATGGCTATTCAGTCTGTTTAATAATATTTGGGAATTGATACAGAAAGAGGATTCATGTTGATTTTTTATTCAGTGTCTCATAGTTTCTCATTCAACATCTTCAGAACGCCCACATCGGCTGGAACTGAGTCATTGCTTTCTCTGTCTAGCTGTTTGTTTTGCCCTTTATTCTTGAGTTGAGTGCAAAGTTATATAACCTTCATTCAGTTTCTTTCATTGACAGATCTGGATGTGCAATGCAACTTTTCATTGACTTTTTCAGAGCCTGATTTGTGAAGCAGAGACACAGCAAATTCAACAGTTATTCCAATTATTTTATTCAATAAACTGAAAGGTGGAAAATATTCAATTTAAAGGTTTATTTTGGAGCCCATCTCCAATGACAACAATAAGGCCTGACTACTTTTAGGATTTAGAGATGCTGTCTGTGTCTTTTTTGTGAAACCAAAAGAAACAAATGAACACTCCATGTAAAACGACAACCACAATGAAGAAAACTGGATCCTAACAAGCGACATTAATAGGAAAAAAACCTTGTGAAAAAGAAATGTAATGCCTGAAAAATATTCCAGCTATTTTGCGACCTGATGGCAGTGCAAATAATAAAAACTAAAAGCTTAGCACAGCATGTGTTTAAATATGATGAATGTGTCACATGATCATTACATAGGGCAGTATGACTTCACAGCTGTATTAAGCATATGTTAAAGTCTATGGTATGTTTTTTTTATCATAGGTTATTTGTGATCTTTTTTTTAATGCTATCTGGATTTGTTCTGTGCCATTTATTCTTGAACCATTTTTAATTCTTTTGTAGGCATTTTGTAACTTTTTTGGTTGGTTGAGAGTATTTTCGAGCATGGCTTCAACCATCTTTGAAATTGTATTCAATAAAAAAAAAGCTAAAGAATTTGGTTATGATAGTTGTAAATATTTCTTGATAACTTAATGGGTTCATAAGCTCTCAGGCTGGTGGGATTGCGGCTTGCCGGAACCTTGGCCGTCACTCACAGTCCTCGGGTCTCGGTGTAGTTCACGGGCCTCAGGATGACCTCCCTCCTGTGGGAGAAGCGGGTGAGCTGGACCCTGTGGTACATCCTCTCTCTGTGCTGCAGCAGGCAGTAAATGGACAGAGTGAGCTTGGCCAGCGCCAGGGTGGAGGCGATCTCCACCACCAGGAGACCGGCGTAGAGTATCATTCCAGTTTTGCACTTCTGTATTCTCATGCTGCTCTGATGCAGGTAGAGGGACTCTGAGTCTGGACCGCCGGCCTCAGAGGGACAGGGGAAGGATGGATGAGGCGGCGTGGTGGGGGTGGTTATCGGAGCGGTGGTCCTGAGCTCAGTGGTTGTGGGCGTCGCAGTTGTTGGTGTGGTCGTGGTCATTGTGGTCGTGGACGTGCTTGCTCTTGTGGTGGTGCTCGTAATTGTCATCTTGGTCGAGGGTGCCGTTGTTATGATGACGGGGGTTGTGCGAATTGTGGTCGTAATGGGCGTCGTGGTCGTTGGCGTTGTTGTTGTCGTGCTGGTGGTGGTTGGAACGGTAGTCACAATCGGAGTTGTTGTTGCGGCGGTGGACAAAATTGTTGTAGCTGCTGTTGTGGTAGTTGGGGTTGTGGTCGTAGTCGTGCTCAAGGTTGTTGCGGGAGGGGTCGTTGGTATTGTGGTAGCGACAGTGGTCGTTGTTCTCACTGTTGTGGTCAAAGTGGTCGTTGGTGTTGTGGTTGTAATGACGGTGGTGGTTGGTTGTGTGGTGATGAGTTGTGTCGTTGTGGTTGTAGGGAC